TGTGCAAAACCACACACACACACACACATGCAAACACACGTATATACACATATACACAAATATATACACACACATATACACACAAAAAACACATATACACCGACTGGGCCACAGCAACGTGTGGCAGGGGACGGCTAGTCTATATAAATAAAAATGTAATGTTCGTTTGTGGGATTAACATAACTCAAAAACCACTTGGTGAATTGACACCAAATTTGGACACAAGACACCTATCAGGTCAACAAGTGACCATCACTCACAAAAACACTAAAAAACACAACAGAAGGGACTTAAAAAGCAGAAAAAAACACATTACAACGCATGTGCAAAGCCATATATATATATATACACACACACACACACACACACACACACACACACACATGCACGCAAACACACTTATATACGCATATACACAAATATACACACATACATATAGACACATGCACACAGAAAGCACATATACACAGACTGGGTCACAGCAATGCATGGCAGGAGATGGCTAGTTTCTTCATAAATCCATTGGAATAAAGAATAAAGGAAAACTGAAATTCTTCCATTCATGTTCAGGGCAGATGAAGCCAAAAATTATCAACAACACATTGCAAAATCAGTGTGTTTCAACATACAAAAAAAATGGAAAGCAGGTATATTTCCACATGAGCTTTTGTGAATGATATCGGTTTACTTTTCAGGCTAAAAATAACCCTGTTATCCTCAAAGGTGCTCCGGGATTTCTTCATCCTCCTCCTTTCTATTTCATATTAAAAGTACAGGATGATTTCCGTTGCCTCAGGATCACCATGTTGTTTTCACTTACCCATGTAACAAGAAATAACCCATGTCATTTCTAGGTCCTTCAGTGCAGTTCTGTGATATCCTTCTACCAGAAGTCATTCATTTCAATAGATTTAGTTATTATTTACAGGTTTGCATTCTCTATGTTCTCCAAGACAATTATAGCTTTCTCTGGAAGTTGATCAAAGAGTCAAGCTGGTGAACCTAGAAATGCTGGAAAGATGCTTTTTGGGGGGGCATTTGTGCTCCAGAGACAGAGAAAGGAGATTCCATCTGAACATGAGGAAGAACTTCCTGACTGTGAGAGCCGTTCAGCAGTGGAACTCTCTGCCCTGGAGTGTGGTGGAGGCTCCTTCTTTGAAAGCTTTTGAACAGAGGCTGGATGGCCATTTGTCAGGGGTGATTTGAATGCAATATTCCTGCTTCTTGGCAGAATGGGGTTGGACTGGATGGCCCATGAGGTCTCTTCCAACTCTTTGATTCTATGATTCTATGAGAGAACAGAAGTGAAGTTGGAGAGCTGAGGTCATTCCACAGATATATAAACCCCTTTTTTCCCAGTCCCAGCAGACCTCACCTCTGAGGATGCTTGCCATAGATGCAGGCGAAACATCAGGAGAAATGCCTCTAGAACATGGCCATATAGCCCGAAAAAACCCACAAGAACTGAGTGATTCCAGCCATGAAAGCCTTCGACAATACAGCTGAGGATTTGCTCACCTGCGCACCAAAGAGAAGGGAATCCAGCATATGGGTTCAATATTACCCATGGTTTTGCATTTCCACTATCAATTCAGGAACATATCCACCATAGATACCATAAATTTTGGTGCCTTGGAATATCAGAGAGTATCTAGGTTTGCATCTATACCACGCATGGGCCAACGTCAGCCATCCTGGTGTTTTGAACTCCAACTCTCACCAGTCCTATCAGTCTCAGGCCCCGTCCTTTTCCCTTTCCTTTTCTGCTTAATTGGCTGATGGGGAAAAGGAAAGCACTCGAGTTTGTTAGGAATTGTGGGAGTTAAAGTCCAAAACACCTGAAGAGCCAAAATTTGCCCATGCCTGAGCTACACTCTACACAGAGCTGTGTTTTTCCAGGTTCTTTAGCCTTTAGCCACGAGGAAGAACTCCCTGACTGTGAGAGCCAGTTCAGCAGTGGAACTCTCTGACCAGGAGTGTGGTGGAGGCTCCTTCTTTGGAGTCTTTTAAACAGGCTGGATGGCCATCTGTCGAGGGTGCTTTGAATGCTATTTTCCTGCTTCTTGGCAGGGGGTTGGACTGGATGGCGCATGAGGTCTCTTCCAACTCTTTGATTCTATGATTCTATGATTCTGCTAAAGAGTGATGGTGCCTCGCCAAACTACAAATCACAAAGCACCACAGCATTGGGTTATGGTAGTTCAAATAGTGTCAAACTGCTTTAATTTGACAGTATAGACACACCCCGCATTCTCTATAGATATCTTCGAGGTCCTCCAGCATCACTCTATGACATACTTCCACTGGATGTCAATCGTTTCAATAGGGTTCATTGTTATCCCCCTTTTTGGTTTTCTCCTTAAGCATTTTGTAGGTCCTGCCACACAATCCTATGATATAATAATAATAGTGTCAATAGGGTTCACTATTATCCCCCCTTTTTGCCTTCTCCCTAAGCATTCTGTAGGTCCTTCCACACAATCCTATGATAGACTTCTACTGGAAGTCAATCGTTTCAATAGGGTTCATTATTATTCCTCTTTTTTCCATTATCTTTAAGTATTTTGTAGGTCCTTTCACACAAACTTATGACATATTTCCACTGGAAGTCAATTGTTTCAAAAGGGTTCATTGTTATCAACTTTTTGCCTTCTCCCTAAGCATTTTGTAGGTCTTTCTACATAAACATATGATAGCCTTCCATTGGAAATCAGTTGTTTCAATAGGGTTCATTATTATCCCCGCTTTTTGCCGTCTCTCTGAGCATTCTATGATAGGCTTCTACTGAAAGTCAACCATTTCAATAGGGTTCATTGTTATTCCCCTATTTTGCATTATCTCTAAGCATTTGATAGGTCTTTCTACGCAAACTTAATGATATACTTCCACTGGAAGTCAACCCTAACCCTAACCCTAACCCTAACTCTAATCCTAACCCTAACCCTACAACCATTTTAGTGGCTTAATGTTTTGATTTTATATTGTTGTGCTGCATAATTACATTTGTTTGTATTTTATGTTATTGTATTTTCTTATTTTCTGGTGTGTTTTTGTGTTATATTGTGTTTTCTGAATTGATGGGTGTGGCCTCATGTAAGCCACCCCGAGTCACCTTTGGGGAGATGGTGGCGGGGTATAAAGATTATTATTATTATTATTGGGTTGTTGTGGTTTTTTCGGGCTATATGGCCATGGTCTAGAGGCATTCTCTCCTGACGTTTCACCTGCATCTATGGCAAGCATCCTCACAGGATGCAGGTGAAATGTCAGGAGAGAATGCCTCTAGACCATGGCCATATAGCCCGAAAAAGCCCAACAACCCAGTGATTCCAGCCATGAAAGCCTTCAACAATACATTATTATTATTATTATTATTATTATTATTATTATTATTATTATTTGTTATCAACTTTTTGCCTTCTGTCTAAGCATTTTGTAGTTTCTTCCACACAATCCTATGATAGCCTTCCATTGGAAGTCAGTCCTTTCAATAGGGTTCATTATTATCCCCCCTTTTTGCCTTCTCTCTTAGCATTCTGTAGGTCCTTCCACACACACATATGATATACTTCCACTGGAAGACAATTGTTTCAATAGGGTTCATTGTTATCAACTTTTTGCCTTCTCTCTAAGCATTCTGTAGATCCTTCCACACAACTCTATGTTATACTAACAATCGTTTCAATAGGGTTCATTGTTATCCACCTTTTTGACTTCTCTGTAGGCCTTTCCACACAAACATATGATAGCCTTCAATTGGAAGTCAGTTGTTTCAATAGGGTTCATTATTATCCACCCCTTTTACCTTCTCCCTAAGCATTCTGTAGGTCCTTCCACTCAATGTTATGATAGGCTTCTACTGAAAGTCAATCATTTCAGTAGAGTTCATTATTATTCCCCTGTGTTGGATTATCTCTAAGCATTCTATAGGTCTTTCTACACAAACTTATGATATACTTCCACTGGAAGTCCATTGTTTCAATAGGATTCATTATTATCAACTTTTTGTCATCTCTCTAAGCATTCTGTAGGTCCTTCCACACACACATATGATACACTTCCACTGGAAGTCCATTGTTTCAATGGGGTTCATTGTTATCAACTTTTTGCCATCTCTCTAAGCATTCTATAGATCCTTCCACACAACTCTATGTCATACTAACAATTGTTTCAATAGGGTTCATTGTTATCCACCTTTTTACCTTCTTTGTAGGCATTCTGTAGGCCCTTCCACACAAACATATGATAGGCGTCTACTGAAAGTCAATCGTTTCCGTAGAGTTCATTATTATCCCCCAGTGTTGCATTATCTCTAAGCATTCTATAGGTCTTTCTACACAAACTTATGATATACTTCCATTGGAAGTCTATTGTTTCAATAGGATTCATTGTTATCAACTTTTTGCCTTCTCTCTAAGCATTCTGTAGGTCCTTCCACACAATCCTATGATATACTAACAACAGTTTCAATAGAGTTCATTATTATCCACCTTTTTGCATTATCTCTAAGCATTACTGTAGGTCCTTCTACACAAACATATGATAGCCTTGCACTGGAAGTCAGTCATTTCAATAGGGTTCATGATTATTCACCTTTTTTGCCTTCTCTCTAAGCATTTTCTAGGTCCTTCCACACAACACTATGATACACTTTCACTGGAAGCCAATAATTTCAACAGCCAGGGAGATTATATCATGAAAGAGAGCAGGACAAAGGGCATCATTCCCAGAAACTTGCATCCCTGGAATACATTGTTCAAGGCAAGAATACCTTCGGCGTGACTTGGAGCCACCTCCAAAGCTCAGAGGAGTAGTGAGTGACTGAGGTCCATGGATGACTAAGAGGAAGAGGAAAAAACCCCTGAGTAAACAGAAGCACACACATGTCACCGCCCACTGAGTTTTATGCTGTCAAGAGAGAAGAAAAAGGAGTTGTTCTGGAAGTGGGAGGGTGTGACGCAGAAGGAGGTGTTGCCTCCTTCTCCAGAGGCTTATAAGACACGAGGGATTCGCTCCAGAGACAGAGAGAGCAGAAGTCAAGTTGGAGAGCTGAGGATTTGCTCACCTGTGCACCAAAGAGAAGAGAACCCAGAACCATGGGCAGGCAGAAGGAGATGCTCTCGGCCATCGGAGGGCGGATGCGGATCAGGAATAAGCTCATCCGGCAAGCTCTGGCTGAATGCTTGGGGACACTCATCCTGGTGGTAAGTGGGTTTACCTTATCGTACATTTTTTTCAATTTCATTTCAGGCAAATGCTGAGAATCATAAGATAATTTGGTTGTGGTTTTTGCGGTTGCATGCTACTCACAGAAAGGGCCCCACTGAGTGATGATACTACACAAACTTTTATTGTATCTTTTTACAATTTTTCATTTGGGGCAAAAAATGTTCAGACTCAGATTTACAAAACACAATTACCAAGGTTCTGGATAGAATCATAGAATCAAAGAGTTGGAAGAGACCTCATGGGCCATCCAGTCCAACCCCATTCTGCCAAGAAGCAGGAATATTGCATTCAAATCACCCCTGACAGATGGCCATCCAGTCTCTGTTTAAAAGTTTCCAAAGAAGGAGCCTCCACCACACTCAGGGGCAGAGAGTTAGTAGGACGATGGATGGATGGCTGTAATTTTTGTGGACACACAGCTAGCCAAATTATGCTCTCCATAAGTCCCACTGAAATGAAGGGGAGTTGTGGAAGATCTCAACTTGTTGTTGTTCATTCGTTCAGTCGTCTCCGACTCTTCGTGACCTCATGGACCAGCCCACGCCAGAGCTCCCTGTCGGCCGTTACCACCCCCAGCTCCCTCAAGGTCAGTCCAGTCACTTCAAGGATGCCATCCATCCATCTTGCCCTTGGTCGGCCCCTCTTCCTTTTGCCTTCCACTTTCCCCAGCATAATTGTCTTCTCAGATCTCAACTACAATGTAGAATTAATGCACTTACAATGTAGAATTAATGCACTTTGATCCTACTTTCACGGCCATGGCTCAATGTTATAGCAACCTGGGGATTGTAGTTTTGCAAAGACATCTCTGCCAAAGCATGCGGTTCCTTGCCAAACTACAATGCATAGCATTGAATGAAAATGCTCGCACTCAGATTTACAAAACACAATTGCCAAGGTTCTGGATAAATTAGTTGGAGAATGGTTGTGATTTTTGCGGGCACACAGCTAGCCAAACGGTGCTCTCCATAAGTGCCACTGAAACGAATGGGAGTTGTGGAAGATCTCAACTACAATGTAGAATTAATGCACTTTGATCCCACTTTCACAGCCATGGCTCAATGTTATTGCACCTTGGGGATTGTAGTTTTGCAAAGACATCTCTGCCAAAGCATGCTGGTGCCTCTCCAAACTACAATGCATAGTTTGAACAGTGTAAACAGTCTCAAAATTGCATTACACTTCTGAGATTGTGCCCTGGATTTTATTGAGACTTGCGGAAAGTCCTCAGAGACCTCACAACCTCTGAGGATGCTTGTCATAGATGCAGGCGAAACATCAGGAGTGATTGCCTCTAGAACATGGTCATATAGCCTGAAAAAACCTACAACAACCCAGTCCTCTTATTGCATTCCATGAAGCTTTTGCCTTCATAGAATCAAAGAAGAATCAATGAGTTGGAAGAGACCTCATGGGCATCCAGTCCAACCCCATTCTGCCAAGAAGCAGGAATATTGCATTCAAATCACCCCTGACAGATGGCCATCCAGCCTCTGTTTAAAAGCTTCCAAAGAAGGAGCCTCCACCACACTCCGGGGCAGAGAGTTCCACTGCTGAACAGCTCTCACAGTCAGGAAGTTTTTCCTCATGTTCAGATGAAATCTCCTTTCTTGTAGTTTGGAACCATTGTTCCATTGCGTCCTAATCTCCAGGGAAGCAGAAAACAGGTTCTCTCCCTCCTCCCTGTGACTTCCTCTCACATACTTATACATGGCTATCATATCCCCTCTCAGTCTTCTCTTCTTCAGGCTAAACATGCCCAGCTCCTTAAGCCGCTCCTCATAGGGCTTGTTCTCCTTTCAGCTTCAAAGGAGACTGAAAAGTAAAGCATGTTCTAACATTAACTTTTTGCAAATAGGCAAGGTTTTGGGTGACACAACACTATCGAATTCTCTAGATGCTTCTCTACCAGGCTGCTTATATTTTTTACTGGTTTAGTAAATCCTCAGCACATCTAGCTTTTTCCCCTTTGGGGGAAAGTGAGTCTCAATCGGGATTTGAATTGAGATCTATGCTTTTCTAAGATCAACGTTTTCCAAAAAGGTGGGATTTTTGAGGGACAGAGAACTTTGCAACCTCACCAGGTTGCTAGTATTTTCTATCAAATTAGTGGCTGTTTGGGGATACATTTGGCTTTCTTCCCACCTGGACAATGTATATAGTAGCCCTGCCTGCCTGGCTCAATATCAACTGTGACTTGAACCCAGGTCTATATTTTGCACGCTATATACAACAGCTAGATATGAGACACCAGTACCCAAGCATGCTATGGGTGCATCAGCACTGTAGAATTAATACAGTGTGTTGTCACTTGAACTGCTCAGTGTTATAGAATTCTGGGAGTTGTAGTTTCCCAAGACATTATAGCATTGAGCCATGGAAATTCAAGTGGTGTCAAACTGCATTGATTCTACAGTGTAGATGCATCCTCAGAGAAAGTGTGGACCATTATGAAATCAAGACCTCACTACCTTTGAGGATGCCTACCATAGATGCAGGCGAAACGTCAGGAGAGAATGCCTCTAGAACATGGCCATATAGCCCGAAAAAACTTACAACAACCCAGTGGTTCCGGCCACGAAAGCCTTCGACAATACATAACCAAGATGTATTGTCGAAGGATTTCATGGCTGGAATCCCTGACTTGCTGTGAGTTTTCCAGGCTGTATGGCCATGTTCCAGAAGCATTCTCTCCTGACGTTTCTGCGCTGACGTTTGCTGCATCATGGCTTAGCATCTTAGTAGGTTTGAGTGCTAGATGGAACCCCATCTTTCGCTAGTTTCCACCCTCGGAGATGCCTGCCCATTGAGTGGCAGCAAAACGTTAGAAGAGAATGCTTCTGGAACATGGCCATGCAGCCTGGAAAACTCACAACAACCCAAATATGGAGGAATCCAGAAAAAAACAGGATGCCCAGAAGGAATGTAGTTTGTTTCTATTGTCCGTGCATCCTCAGACATTATGAGGTCTGTTGGAAACCCCATTTTCCTAGTTTCCAACAAACCCCACAACCTCTGAGGATACCTGCCACAGATGCAGGCAAAATGTCAGGAGAGAATGCTTCTGGAACATGGCCAGACAGCCTGGAAAACCCGCAACAACCCAAATATGGAGGAATCCAGAAAAAACAGGATGCGCAGAAGGAAAGCAGTTTTGCATTGTTGGCTTTTCCTTCCCGGCATTTGTGTATTTGTGTATACGTGCGAGTGTGAGCTTGCACTTGTGTGTATGTAAATATTCAAAATGTCACAGACAGGTGAGATGAAACCAGCCAAGAAAGTGACAGTGGTTTCAATTATCCCTTTTTCTTGTGACTAAAGGATATGAGGTTTAATTTGGAGGTGGAATAGGGTGCATCTACACTATAGAATTAATGCCACTTGGCACCACTTGAACTGCTATGGCTCCTTGCTATGGAATACTGGGACTTGGAGTTTGGCAGAGAAGGCTAAAGATCTTGTAAAACGACCACTCCCAGGATCCCATAGCATTGAGTCATGGCAGTGCAAATGGTGTCAAACTATATTAATTCAACAGTGTAGATGCACCTGAAGTGAGAACATATTTAAAGCAGCAGTTTTAAATATGTTCGTTTTAGGCACAATCAGAGTCTCCCTTATGTAGTTAGTGGCTGTGATAGCTCATGGATTCTGGGCATTGTAGTCCAGAGCACTTCCCCAAGCCCTTCTGTATAAGTGCTACTCAGTGGTCACAATGATTGGGGGGATTCTGGTATTTGCAATCCAATGTGTTTCCAAGCTCCGATCTCGAGATGTAAATCTTACCCACATTGGACTCTTGAGTTAGAAAAGCCACAAATATGCGCACACATGGGCATCAGCCACACTTATGCGTGATCGTATCACTAACAGGTTGCCAGTCTTATTTGCACAGCAAATATTTTTTAAGTTGAATACTTCCTTGAAGAACATTGCAAAGAACAAACACTCTGCCCTTCTTGGAGAAGTGTCTCAAGTGCTGGGAAACCCATTATCCTGGGCAGAAACACATAGCAATACATATTCTTTCACTCCCAACTGGAACTTCATATCCATGTTGCTTTCCAAAGTTGATCTGTCTATTTAGTCTCCATTATATATAGTAATAATAATAGTAGTAGTAGTAATAGTACTACTACTAATAATAATAATTTTATTTCTTACCCCCCTTTCCTCTTGGCTCTGTCTGCTCTCTAGATCTATCTATCTATCTATCTATCTATCTATCTATCTATCTATCTATCTATCTATCTATCTATTTATCTATCTATCAATCTATTGATCTGTGTCTCGATCTATCTATCTGTCTATCCATCCACCCATCCATCCATCTCCCGTCTATCCATCATCTCCTTCCTTTTTCCTTTTTCCTTATAGATTGATCTATCTGTCTATCGATCAATTGATCTGTCTATCGATCTATCTATCCGTCTATCCATCCATCCACCCATTCATCTATCTCCCATCTATCCAACATCTCCTTCCCTTTTCCTTTTTCCTTATCGATCTATCAATCTATCGATCTATCTGTTTGTCTGTCTGTCTATCAATCTATTGATCTGTCTATCGATCCATCCATCCATGCATCCATCCATCTATCTCCCATCTATCCATCATCTCCTTCCCTTTTCCTTTTTCCTTATCGATTGATCGATCTATCTATCTGTCTATCTGTCTGTCTACCTGTCTGTCTACCTGTCTACCTGTCTATCTGTCTATCAATCTATTGATCTGTCTATCGATCTATTGATCTGTCTATTGATCTATCTATCTGTCCACCCACCCACCCATCTATCTATCTCCCATCTATCCATCACCTCCTTCCCTTTTCCTTTTTCCTTAGCCCTTGGAATGTTAAATCAGATACAACTAAAAGTTTGTAGTATCTAAACAGAGCTCAACTATCAATGGAATTAGGAGCAATTTATAAGCATGACAATTCACACATGAGTGCCTTAAAGTGACCTGTCAATTT